GCGGATTTTGCTATGTAAAATCCCGTCCCAAGCTGATTTGGGCTTAATACGCAGCTGGGCCTGTTAACCGTGGGCTTAATAACCGGCGACTACTGTATTAGCCCATGACAGTGCTGGCTAAAGATAAAATGAAGAAAGCCGAAACAAAGTCTGCCTGAATGTTGTCATGATACCACTGCGAAATAAGCCCCAGCTCATTTAGGGGATCTTTTACGCATTTGTTAGAGTAGCCTATTCAGTTAATTCAGCCGCGATCCAAATGCTGTTAACAAATCTAATCTCGAAAACTTTCCTTTATCACGGGCTCCATCAGAACTTCCTCTCTAAGCTCGCTTCTCCATCTGAGAGTTGCAAATCTGCTCCAACTGCCTCCACGACTATCCACACACATTTATGTCAGTACTTTATAATATTTCTCTATTCAGCCTAACTCATAGTCTCCAATAATATGCTTAACTTATACGAAATTTATAAGCAACCGCTTTCTCTGAAATTGGTCACCTAAGAATGTAATAATAGCCTTTAGCATACTCAGTGTTTGGACGGCGTCTTGACTCCGACCGGGAGAAGACCTGACGTACAAAGTATGAAACCATGGCCTAAAAATCTTGTCCATTTTTTAAGGAAAAAACAACTGACTATTTCCAGTATAACGTTAAGTCAGTGTATATAAAATCAAATAGAACCCCCGTGACGGTTGGTCTTTGCTTTTTGTTCATTTATTTTTCTGAGTCGGCCTCTTTCGACTCTTTTTGGACATGGTTTACGGAATTTTACCCGGAAAACGTTCCTCTGCTTTCATTTTGGCCTCGGCGAATGGTTGCTTATTGTACAAATAGTTCAGTAAGAGTGCATACGCCTACTTTAATATACATTGAATGCTAACATATTTTCTCTTCCAACAGCATGGCGAGTGTCATATGGCTTAAAATTCCAAAAGAAGTGAAAATTAGTATGAAGTACATTAATGCAGAGGTTCAAAAACTGGACAAGATGGACAACTTGTGCATTGACGACAAGATAGCGCATCTCCAAAGACTGCGGGTTGCCAACCAAAGAAATCTTGACTTCCTGGAGTCATTATGGAGAAACAATACAGGTGAGAGCATTATTCAAAAAAGATTAAGGAGGCAACGTAATGAGAAAGAAAAGGTTTAGTACATGCAAATATTCAAATAATAGCATTTACTCTTTTGCATCCCACTAATAATTCTGGTTACAAGTACAAGCATCAAAAACATAATAACCTGAATTTGGGGCACTTTACTGTTTCTTCATTATAGAACCGGCAATTTTCCAGAATGTAGAAAACAACGAAGGATGTTCGCGCTTGAGCGAGTACAATCGCGAAGAAATTGTGGAGGTGCACATTCCCTCAGACTTTTAAAATCACGCACATTTACAGAGTTTTCGTTGGAGTTTTCGTTGGAGAGTTTTCATCCGAGCTCTTAAATATGGATACTGATTGCAAACGGCGGACACTAAGTTTCTCACAAAACATTTTGAGATCGCAGTAAAATTCATTCTAACCAAACCTTCACACTTTAATTGATTAAATGTTTATTTTATAAGCATGAATTAGTGGCTTGGGGTCAAAAATATCGCAAATGAATTTTATTAGCTAAACACAGAACATAAATTAATTGTTGGATTTACCCTTCGTCATACAAAATATATGGGCTCACCTTCTAGTTAGCTGCTGCTTGAAGCGGTATTTTCTATTGTTTTATGTGACATACTTTCTATATAATTGTACACTAATCGTATAAGGCCTTGCAAGAAATCTATTTTGAACTGGCAAGAACAGGCATGGGCGTAGTCTGTAGCACTTCACATATTGACGCGTCCTTTACAGGACTGAATTTTTACTATGATAATCAAGAAAATGCGACGAAGTCGTCTGGCCTCGTTTTGCAGCTTTTTAGTTTCTTTTATCATTCCCTATGCTTCCAGTTCTTCAGTCAAAAATATAAGTAAAGGCTTTATTTAGTAGGAATACCACTGGAATTTTGAATGCACTAGCTTTCAATGAAAAACGACCAATTGACTACCTTCATTTTTCTAACTGCAAATGAAGACTGAGTCTCAACTGAACAGCACCTTTGATAAGGAGAACATGTGTGGAGCCGATACAGAAGAAACGCACAAACAAATGTTCCCACACATCGGGTAATTCTTTGTTAGGTTTTAATAAATTTTAGGGCACCCACCCAGTCCTGTGCGCGCCTCTGCAATCGAACACTTTACGAATACATTGAACAGAAGAAGCAAAGAGCTGAGGAGGAGGCCATGCTAGTTGGCGGGTGTAAAAAGCATAAGGCCACGCCAATTCCCGCCCACGTATTTCTTCCTCTTTATTCACGCGTGATGAACAAGGGCGGAGGACGCAAGCCAACCAACAAAAAATGACTGTCCGGCAGATATGGGAGCTGTACAAGCGCCGTTTTGTGCTCGAATACAAAAATAAACTTTTAAGCAGATCAAGTTTCCTTTGCGCATTGCTGAGTTGCTCCTCACTGCATAAACAAGGCTTTTTGCATTCGGGAGCGCCCGACCGAGGTTCGCATTACCCTCCTTAGGGCTCTTAAATACCGTTTGAACTAAATCTGCACATTTAACTAGTAGTCTGGAAAAAAGATTGCCTAAGCTTAAAAGACAGCTATCTCGCACATTTTTAGCTCGAGGGGTATCACGTTTGCTTTATTGACAGTTGATTTATTAGAAATAATGACTTTTATTTCATAGGTACTAAGATTTAATAAAATAAAGGTGTTTCTCTCTCTATGGTGCACCTTGAGAGCAGAGGCCGGTGTTAAAAATAAATCTTGATGATTGCTATTGAAGTTTTTTAATGAACATATTTTGATTGATTACAATCGGATAGTTTTAGGCCGTAAAAATACGGTCTTAACCCCAACCTCCAACCATAGGCAGGGACTCAATTACACCTAAAGCTAACCTAACCTTCAGTGATATACAGTTAAAAAAAAACCGCCGCTAATATCCCCAGATGAACGACAGCCTTGATTTAGAGATTATACCATGTTCGCATGCGCGGCTGCCTTGGTCTCAATAGTGCCCCCATCCTCATTGCTTTTTATGTCCCTATCTTCTAAAAACAAGGTCCCACCTGAGTAAGGTGTGTATTCAGAAAAACTAGGTACGCAACTTTATATCAGATAGAAAAGTACAAGCGAGTTCCCTCGTAGGAATGTCAACAACACAGACGATTGCAAATGTAGGCGCACTCAGAAAACTGAAGGCAAGTCCTCCTGAACTAAGGAGATGTTTTTAAATAAGGATTTATGAGTGCGATAAACGAACCTGACAAGTACAAGTTATAAATTGCACTTGCACTATTTGCTTGATTTGTTCGTATCTAGCCCTTCATTTAACGCTGTCGGCGGATGACATCATTCGTTCAGATCGTCGCCTGCTGCCGGAAACAATTGCACATGATCTGGTTTTCCGGCCGCTTGTCGGAATGACGTCCTAGACCACAGGATCGCAACTGTTGCGCGCGGCTGTTCGCCCGGCAAACGCACCACGTGCTTTTTATCCTAAGTACAGGGTCACGAGACCGGAAACGCGTAGTTATTTTTTGCCCCCATGCTCCCTAACAAGCTGACTTCAATTGACGCAAGCATATCATGTGTTGACGTAGACAAGAAGAGCATTTTGTCACGAGGGACGGAATTTCTGTTGAAATGATGAACTTTCTTGCTCTTCTTCTCTCATTTGATGCACTCAATGTTCTCCTCAAAGTCATAACGCCAATCAAGGTTAAGCCCTCGCTGACTG